AGATTCTCTCAGACATGCAGGTTTCCTCACGATATTTTCCTTCACCGTAAGACTAATCGTAATCAGTGTGACAGAATCATAAGTGACAGAATTATGCGTTCAGTAATATAAATGTGTACCTAACAGTATTTACAGAACTGCCAACTTTAAACAAATAAGTACTTAGTCATAAATTAACCCTTTTAGAGAAAAAAATCACGTGACATGCGCAGCCTGCGCTCAGACGATAAAACTGCAACTTTAAATACCCGTTCAAAATTTTCTATGTGTAGCTTTATATTTTTCTCAGGAAAAATGAATAAGAATTTATTATAGGGATTCGAACCCCAAATTCTATGAACCCCGTATGAGGTAAATAAATAAATATAAATATGTTGGGATATTAACACACATCACCGTCTAGTTCCATGGTGAGCTACGAGGCTTGTGTTATGGATACCATATACACATGTTGATACACTACACATATATAACTTTAAATACATATATATATTATAAATATAAACACTCATGACTAGAGTACAAACATTCGTGATCATCACACAAATGTATGCCCCCAGCGAGACTCGAACTCGCGATCGCTGGCACAGCAAGTGGGGTCACTACAAACTGAGGCAAGCGTGTCGTAAATCGTGTGTATTTACTTTTAATATAAATGAAATATTTGATTTTTTTAAATTAAAAATCGAATATCAATAAAATATATTTTCATTTCACGATATAAGTACAAGTACATATTTCAAAGTTTCTCCAATGGAGATTATGGAAACAAAAATATAAGTACATACTAGCGACTCACCCTCGCTTTTAACGTTTAGTACATATTTTTCATAGATGAGATAGATATATTTTCCCGCGGTGCAAAGTATCCTATATGTTGACCCGGATAACCAGCTATAATCATACCAAATTCACATCAAAATCTGTCCAGTGGTTTTTTCGTGATGCGGTCACAGACAAACAAATATTTTATAATCTATAGACATGGCCTTTGTATCAATAATAATGTCTATTTCAATAAAATTTTCCAAATAATATTTAATGTACAGATTCGACTCAGAATTTTATTATATGTATAGATTTAAATAACATATCACACATAAAGTATTAACCAATTCTGTGGCAGTTGTATTCTAAGTTATTAGAACAATACTTGCTTTGTTTCATTCATACGATTCTTTGACATTTAAAATAATTTTAATATGTAGATAAATAATTTCAAATTGCCATGGTGGTGTAGTGGCTAGTATGTACAGCTGCATATCCTGGGTTCGAGTCCCAGGTCGGGTCAAGTTTAGAAATTGGGTCTTTCTGCTTAGTAAGCCTCAGTAAGCCGGAGTTAGGAAGTTGGCGGTGTTTCTGTTGTAAAGCCGTCGGTTCTGCGCCTTAACTCTCACCGGTCGTGTCTCGCGTCGTTCCACCGGAGTATGAGAGTGACAGGAATAGAGAGTTCACTTGTGTCTGCGCGTACACTTGTCCACTATAATATCTCCTGCAAAAATAGCTTATCTCAATTACTATTATTATTTAAATAATTTCAAAAGCTAAAACTATAGCAACCCAAATGAAAAAATCAAACGGTAAGGTTCAGTACCGTTTTTTTTCTTCTAATCGTCGGGAATAAAAAATGAAAATAATACTGTGAAAATATGCAAAAAATTAGATTCATTGTAAATTCTTATTACAACGTTAATGTAGCATGAAAAGTCTGATTACTGAAAGTTTCTTAAATAAAGAACTGAACGGTCTATAATAATTATTATGAATGAAGCAAAATTTCTTTCTTCGGATATAACTAAGCGAGAAATATTGTTAATTATACAAATTTTTCTTCAATTCCCACGTTTAATTATGTTATTTTTTTTATTTTTCTTAACGTACTTTGTTCTAAATTGTTGTTAGCGATAAGGAGCTCTACTATAATTTTCTTTACAAAAACGTTTTGCGTGCTAAGTATTGCATGCACTTGTGTACGCTCCGTGTAAGCTTTTGCCTTTGTGTTATAAAATTATAAAATAGCAAAAACCAACGACTCATTTGCATTGAATTATAGAAGAAAATCACAACTTTTAATATGAAAGTTAGTAGGTGGTAAACCAGTGGTAACACACCCACTTAGGAAACTGAGTAAAGCGGATTCGAATCCCGAGTCTCGCTCTACTGATGTTTTCTAATGTGAATCATCAAAAGCTTTTAAAAAAAATACAGCATTATTATTTTTTTAAATAAAATAATGTTTCCTTTGAGTAAAAATTGTTAACTTCGATATTTAAGGTACTTCTTCTATATTCCATCCATTTGTTCCAACCTGGATATTTAACATTCAGAATATTCTAAGATAATCAATCATTTACAAAGATAATCTAATATCTACATATTTGCAATCGCAATACTTATATATATCTCGTAAATAATTTACTATTACATTATACAATATCACATTACCTGAAATGAAATCTTCCCCAAAACAAACTGACAATCAGACGATACTGAAAATAATTACCTTAGGTACCTTAGATAATAAAAACCTAGAAGCATCAGACAATCAACAACAATCAACAACAATCATCATCGTAGGTGTAAACAAAATTAAAATTAGTACACATAATTTTGCTTCTAAAGTAGCAAATAGAGCGAACATCATTTACCGATACAGAACACTTTGACCAATTAAATTCTAGTATTTTGATCACGTCCGTGTCTGCACCACAGGCCCAGTTGGTTGAAATTGGACCACAGGCAATATTAGCAGTTTTTATTTTTCTAATAGAATGGAGCTGAAATGAATGAGAATCTTTTCGGATTATATCGCTGATTTATTTTGATTTTTGGTTCCCGACGTTCCGAATGTTTTACAGCATCCATGGCGACGGGAGAGACTACGGTTTTAGACATCTCAAAAACGATTATAAGAAAGTATTATTTTATAGAATTTTACATTTAATTTCGATCTCTCAGATATTTTTCTCTTTAAATAAAGGTAACCCACTTATGTCTAGTACTATCTGCCTGCCTTTCACGAGCCGTTGTGCCAATGAAGCGTGAAAATGTTTTAGACAGACGCTAAAGATAACTTGGACGGTTTGTATTTTGTAATTTCTTTATTCCTTCCACTATATTTTCATTGGTTCTTCTTATTAAAAGAGATTTCAACAATGACACTTGACTTTAATTATTTATAATATTGTTAATATTATAAATGTGAAAGTGTGTTTGTTTGTCCTTCTTTTCCGTCGAAACAGAGTTGGCATGATTTGTGTGGAGATAATGGGAGGGCTGGAGAGTAATATAGCCTACATTTTATTGCGGGATATTATCTCATTCCCACGGGAAAACACGTTATAATACAACCCATAACAACTCATCGTACCTATGTATCTATAATACAGGCTATCTATTTCATACTAATCGTTTAAAACCTACCTAGTGACGAACCCGAACGAAGCGAAGCGAGGGTGAGTCAATAGTAGTTAAATAATCACACTTGTTTGAGTAATCAATAACTTTGTTTTTCAATGCAATAGCTAGGGCTTCCAATAATAATTAATAAATAAATACGTTGGAACATTAACACACATCACCATCTAGTTCCATGATAAGCTACGAGGCTTGTGTTATGGATACCAGATAGTTGATACACTACACATATATAACTTTAAATACATACATATTATAAATATAAACACCCATAACTGGAGTACAGGCATTCGTGCTCATCATACAAATGAATGTCCCCAGCGGGATTCGAACCCGCAACCGCTGGCACAGCAAGTAGGGTCACTAAAAATTGAGCCAAACGTGTCATCACTGTTTGTTACCATAATTCATTGGCTCACTATTACAAGGTTCTATGTTAATTTTAATGAAGTTTAGTAATAGAACTTCGTTATTTTGTTATCGTAAAAAAAACAACATAGAACTATGTAAAATTGAATATTTTGTAGTTATAGTGCCGCTATCTAGTGGTTTGTTTTTGCAAAACTGTAGCTAATGACACATAGAACCTTGAGCATTCATAACTAAATACGTACTAAAATTGTAACATAGAACCTTGTAATTGTGAGCCAACGAATTATGTCAGTGCAAGAAAGGAGAAGGAAAGAGAATAAACCTCTGGCACCACACACTACTTTCACTAAACGAATTGTATCATTTCTAGTCCTATTATATAATGTAATAGCTTTTTCCCGCGGATCCGCTTGCGCCAAGTTTTCTTTTCACCACCTGAAAAAGCACGTAACAAATATTTATTCATATGTTTGGTATATTTCTCTTATAATATGATTTCTCTCTCCTTAATATGATAATATGTTAATAATAAAAGATCAATTTTATTTAAAACATTTACTTTCTTTCAATAATTTCACAAAGCATGAACAGCGTTGACTACTTTAAGATATACATAGCATCTATCTTAAGAATAATCTTAGAACTTTTCAACATTTATTAGCATTTAATACCAGAACTACTAACTTTAAAAACTTTAACATAATTATATAAAATCTATAAAGGAATTAAAGAAAAAAAAACTTTATATTACTTAACTTATTTCGATGTTTAAAACTATGAAGTACAATCGTATTGAACTTATTTACAACACATCACACGTTTTCATATTTGGGCTCATTAAATATGAAAATGTGCAATTTTAAAACTAAAAATTTACTTCTATTCTATACATCTCTATATTTACATATGAAAACGATATTTACAATATTTATTATTAAGTAAACGATTAAGTCATTTTCTACATGAAATTACTACTGTACATAATATTTACAACTATATATCTATGATTTAATGAAGTGCTTTATAAAGCAATATAACAAAAGATATTAACGTTAAATATCTAAGGTATTATATCCTAGTTATTATTTAGAGAGAAGGAAAATTATATACTCTCTCTTTTCTTTTCCATAAAGAGAGAAAGAGCCGCATGCATATTACACTATAGTGACTTGATCTGAAGTGATGTGCGTGCGGCTTCTGAGTGATTCTCAGACAATATCGTGGCAAGAGTTCCCATTTCCAGTGCGGGTGGTCTTCGTCGGTTGAGGACGACCAGACATACCGTCGGTGTAGAGTGGTGGACAGTACATCACCTGGAACAAATGGTGGATATTTGTAATTATTATTATACTAGCGGTTCACCCTCGCTTCGCTCGGGTTCGCCTTTAGAAAAACACTAATAGAGATCTATTAGTTCCCACGGGAACCGTTCATTTTTCCGGGATGAAAACTAAACTGTTGTATGACCTGCAATATAAGGTAACAGAATGTTAAATTTTACTAAATTAGGTGCATAAGTTGTTGTGTATTAAGCTATATAAGATACTATAGTTTTTTAACTATCCCACGGGAACTCTTTAATTTTCTGGGATGAGAAGTATCTAAGATGTTGACCGGGGATATAAGGTACCACCATGCAAAATTTCAATTAAATCGGTCCGGATAGATTCGGAGAAAAAAAAATCTGGATTTGTTCTATTTGTCTTCTTACATACATCCCCCTGACTCGGTTTTTAGCATTTTTTTGCTATGTACAGACATTCGACCTATACTGTTTTATTATAGTATAGATGTAACAGAAATGCTTATCTAACCCAAGTACAGCAGTGTTAGCCCAATGGTAAATCGCCGAAACCGAGTGAAGCGTGTTCAAATCCCGGGTGTTGCATTTTCGATATTTTCATGTGAGACACATTTCTAAAATGGTTATTACTATTTTACGGTGAAGGAGAACATTGTAATGAAACCCGCATGTGTAAGAGAATCTAGTAAATTTTCGAAAGACATGCTCAGTCCCCACTTGGCCAGTGGTGGACTATGGCCTGTTCGCCCTCGTATTGAAGGGAGGCCTGTGTCCAGCAGTGGGACGTTAAAAAGGGCTGAATACACATGTACCTAATTATAGATGGAATGGAGAAGGAAACTGTATTTTGGAGGAAGCACATGAAGCACAAATGTGTTATTATTTATCTAAAAGTATAAGTAAAAGTCTTATTTTGATATTTAAATGTAAACAGAAACCAGATTTTTTGTTCAACAATGATTTTTTGTTTTATATTGTCTTTAACTTCGTTCGTTTTTTTAATTTTAATCTTCAAGGGAACGAACGAAGTTTACATCTAAGAAGATGTAAATTGAAGGATCTCTAAGCAAATTGCTTAATTATTATTTTTACATCGCATCCTACAACAAATCTATCAACTTATTATGCGTCACAAATATCGTATGTATTTCTCTACTTTATCATGTTTAGAAACGAAAAATTATTGTCTAGATAATAGAAATATCTAATATTTATTTTAAACATATTAGGTAAGTATTAAAGAATTATTATTATTCCCAAGGAGGGTTGACGTCAGGCAGGCGGCCGGTCGTAAAACTTTTGCCAAATCCTATCAGCAGTACACTGAAGATGTACTGCGCCGACCCCAAGTGATTTGGGAAATGGGCAGGGAGAAGAAGAAGAAGAAGGTAAGTATTAAAGAAATCATTAAATAACTAAGTAGTTAATCTATACACACAAATAAAATTGAAGTGTCTGTTTGTTATGTTAAAATAACAGCTTATTACTAAATGCATATGACATTATATTATACGGTATTTATAAGAAAAACACATTTTTTTAAATGTTTATCTGTCTATCTATTTGTTCCGGCGAAACTCCGAAACGGCTGGTGCTTTTGACGGGACTTTCACTGGCAATAAAGCTTTTATTTTAGAAAAAGAAATAGAGCAAAGCGAGGTTAAGTCGCTAGTTATCAATATAATAAAATTAAATATACGTGAAGAATCAAAACAATTTTAAATGTTGCTTATTTCTAAAGGTTTCATCTTTATAAATGAAATGTAATTATAATTAGGTACAACTCCACTCAAGAATAAGGACGTCAAAAGTCAACTTAAATTGTCTTTTAATGAAAAAAAAAACAATAATACAAAACAAATGTCTTAGAACTTACAGCAGAAAAAATTGTAATTTTTTTTTGTCAAAAATTTGTTTGTAAACTTATACCATATACTAGAACCAGTAGACTCTTGGTGACGCGTTCGCGTAGACAAGTGAAGTGGGTTCAAATCCGTCTTTTGTATCTGATATTGTCATATTCGAATTGGGATAGTGAATAATAATCAACATGATATTGATCTGCTAACAGAAACTAAATAGTATATATGGAGCTCGTGACCACTAGTGAGACGTTAAAAGTGGCTAAACTATATTTAATCTATACATACATATAATAAAATTCTGAGTCGAATCTGTACATTAAATATTTTCTGAAAAATTTTATTGAAATAGTCATTATTATCGATACAGAGGCCGAATCTATAGTTTTTGGATTTTTTGTCTGTTTGGGAACGTATCACGAAAAAACCACTGGACAGATTTCGATGCAATTTCGTATGATGATAGCAGGTTATCTGGGTCAACATACAGGATACTTTTTACTGCGGGAAAATATCCCATCCCTGAGAAATCTATACGAAATGTTAAAACGTAACGACTTAAAGACGAACCCGAGCGGAGCGAGGGTGACTCACTAGTCTACATATAAATAGGGAAAGACAAAATATTTCAGTACCTTTTTCTCTCCTGTTTGTCAACCGATTTTCTTTTTTTTGTAATCAAAAGCAGCTATTTCCAAGCTTAATAAAACCTTAATCAAACAAATTTGGAAACCGTTAGCTTTTTTTATATAAATAGGTAAATTCTATTCATATAATATGTTTTTCTCGAATTTCCAATAATAAACAAACAGTATGTATGTTTAACGTTTTAACTTTAATAAGAAATTTCTTAATATGTTATCAAAATAAGATTCCTACGTCTTTATGGAAGTAAAATTAAATATTATACTGACTTATACGTAGATGTGAAAAATGAAAAAAAAACAATAAATCTATCGTAACGGTCCTTTACGATGATTTTCCTTGAGGGCGAAGTATTTTATATTAAAAAAAATGTATATTTATGAACGAAAGTAACTTTTACAATATAAGATGTTTTACCGTCGAAAAAGAAATCGAGTTTTTAATATTTCCATATTCCAACAAGAGCAGGATAATGTGTTATTTTAATGTTTATCATGTTAAGGGGAAAACAGTTCAGTTCACCAGGTGGAGCGGATTCGAATCCCGGGTTCTGCATTTATGATATTTTCAGCGAATCATTTTTAGCATAATTACCATTTCCAGTCTAACGGCAAAAGAAAACAACGTGAAGAAACTTCTTTATCTCAGAATTAGTTTTCGAAAGACATGTTAAGTCCGCCAACCCGCACTTGGCCAGCGTGGTGGACTATGGCCTGATCCCCGTCGTACTGAAGGGAGCCCCGTGCCATTAAAAAAATACACAAAAAGAAAAAAAGAAAATTATTATTTACGAATCCATTTGAGTATAATATGATCTTTAAGTTTAATTTGTATTTGAAGATTGTTGTTAAATTTCATAGCTTTCAAGTATTTATAGCCAAAATAATTTAAATGACCGTTCTCATGTTACTTTTGGAAGAGAGTTATTTTTTTAGTTTTCGGGTCTTTACCTTAAGGGTCAAGTTGGGCCCTTCTATTTACTTCACCTGACTAAAAGCTGACCACATACGAGTGTAGCTGTGGAGAAGTTCTAGTTCATAATATAAATAAGACGAGGTAAATTCATTTGAAACATAATTAGAAAAACGAAACATCAAATTTATTGTGAGTAAAAATTTAAATTAATTTTAAGCCTAAACATATTTCTGGGAAAATATATAATAAAAAATATGGGCATTTCGCACTAAATATGGAAAATTTAAAATGAAAATAAAAATAGGACGGCATCAAAAATCTCGTTGGAAATTACAAACAAATATTAGCTTTTCAATCAGACTCGGCTTAACGTGGCGAAATAGAAATATTAGGGGAAATCTAAAACTGAGATAATATTATGTAATTTTTATTTTTACATGTAAAAAAAACATTTTTTTAAAATGTTCCGCACAATATATCTATTTTTACCGACTTCTAAGAAGGAGGAGGTTCTATGTTCGTCTGTATGTATTTTTTTTGTTTTTTTGTTTTTGTGTATGTTCATCGATATTTTCGATACAATTGTAAACCGATTTAAAAAAATATTTTTTAATTCGAAAAGGTATTATACTCCCGAGATGGTCCCATTATCATCAAGTCAGGATCTGGTGATGGAATTTCAAGGAAATCAAGGACAAACTAACTATTTTTTTTTAGTATCACTGCGACCATTTCTGGTCTATTGTGATCGCCGCTATTTGTACTAGAGTGAACCACTAAACCCTGCTGATGTTAAGAACTGCAGGATTTTCTTAGGGTTGCACTCTTTTATTTCATCAAGGCTTGGAAATTGTTTTCCTAGATGAATACTGCGTTTGTGCATGAGCGGTTCGCATTCCCTCAGAAGATGTAGTGGCGTTTCGTCTGCCTCCCTACAGATTCTGCAGGTTCGCGTTTCGCTCAGCCCCAGGTTGAACATGTGCTTATTTAAGCAGCAGTGTCCAGTAAAAGCCCTTTCCAGTGTTCGTAAGGTTTTTCTGTTTAGCCCTAGCATAAGATTGTTAAACCTTTTGTCGTAGGCTCTAATTAGTGCCTTGGAGTGATTCATTCCCTTTGATTCAGTCCAAGCCTTGTTCGCAGTCTTGAGACATGCTATCATTAGGACAAACTAACTAACAATGCAATAAAACTTTTTACTGGTGAGTTCCACTAACTACTAACCACAACTAACCACTGTATGTCTACAGGTGGTATGCGTAAATGCATTTCCGAACATAAAAAAGGTGCGTCCCAAGGTATGTATTAATTTTTTTGAGTGGACTCCTAATTCTTTTTCTACAATAAATGTAGCTTAAGTTACTCCTAATAAAATCAGCTATCTGCCAATGAAAACCCCGTAAAAATCATGCTAGCCGTTTCAGAGATTAGCTGGAACAAACAAACAGATCTACATACAAACTTTCACATTTATGGTGATGGTCCGACAAAAACATGTTTAATAGATATACTTTCTTAGATTTACGCAAAAATTTGAAACTATCTCTCGCCTGACTATGGATGCTGTAAAGAATTTGAAACGTCGGGACCA